AAAAAATATTTTTTTTCGAATTTTAAAACACGACCGCGCGCGTGTAGTAAATTTTATGAAAAAGCTGCCACGTAGCACAAATGCCCAGTTTAAAAAAAAGTCAAATTACTTCCTATTGGCACATTCCATGATGTGGGGAAGGGTAGAAAGGAGTAATAGAAATGATCTTCAGACGTCTCAGCTTCGATATGCGAAAAATGTGAATTAAAAACTGAATTTGTAGTAAATTTTGCGCATAGGCGCGTGCTAAAAGATTACGACAACAGAAATGTCAGAAGAAGGGTGAAAATGGCCCTTTATTATATTACATATAGTTAAACAGATGGTCCCACTTGGGCTTATATAAAGCGGACACTTCTGGCTTAACTCAAACAAGTAATATTGAACTCAAAATAAAATGTAATTAAACTAGCCCAACGACTCACAGGATAATTTAAAAATAATTCCTTACACAGTCGTCAAGAGCTCGTCAGGCTATGTTACCTAAAAATATGAGACTGTATACTCTTTCATCATGTGTGAAAATGTTTTCATGCGGAGTGATTATTTTAGTTTTATTTTTCCTTATTCATGGCTTTCAATCCACAGCCATCTTTACCTTTTCAGTCTTTATACAAAGTTTGTAAAATTTAATACTTCAGACGTAAGCTTTCAGACTTAAAAGTGCTTTTGATACATCAAGCTAACTACCTAGGTAAGTATTCTGAAGGATAATTAAAGTGATTGCACTTTTTTATTTGAATGCGTAAATACTCTGTGCTTTTGTACGGCCTGAATTAATATTACTATTAAGAAATTTGCAATTTTATTAAAATTTTCTTTATTTGCCCTAAACTGCGAATATTTTGCGATAAGCTTTCCCTACACTTAGCCAGATAGCCTTCTCATGTTTTGTCATAGTTAATTAAATAAACTTGTTTCTAAAGCATGGCCAAATTTATGTTTTTATAAAACCTGTATGGGTATGTTTAATGATGATCTGAAAAAATCAGATTAAAAACCTTCTTTCCATGCTTACTTCGGTAAAGAAGAAGAAGCATAGCTTAGAATCAAAATTTTTCAAATATAAATAATTTGAGTTTTTATAGCTGATTTGATGGCCATGGGGTAGTCAGAAAGCTAACCAGTAATCGAGACTTGTGTTATTTGCGAAAGTGTATTTTAATTAACACTTTCTTATGTTAATTCTTTCGTGTTTCTTCCATTCTTTTCATAAGCATCATAGGGATGTAAACTAAGTGGAATTTAAACATTGAGAGAATTTGTAGTTTGGTAAGAGAGCTTGGCAGCGCACCAGGAAAGCTGTTTCTTTTTTGAACCACCAACTATTGTCCGAGTTTCTTTTCTTTTTTTTTTTTTTTTTTTTTTTTGTGTGTGTGTCGAGTGTTTCCTGATATTTGATAACGTTTATGTTTAGAAGTCCCGTATAATCTAGAACTGGGTTGTACAGATATTAGATATATATATATTATTTTGTAAATATTTAAGCATTTTGTATTCCTGAGCTCCCACAGGGAGCAATAGACAAATTTGTTTAGTTGTGCCTAAAAATATTAATGTTAATAAACTTTTTAATTTAGTTTTTCATCGCGTCTTTGTTCTTTTACTTCTAGACTTCTGCCTAGAGCAGGAAGATGATAGGTCATCTTTAACATTGGAAAGTTAAGCGGGATGTAGTTTTAAGATTCGTTATGTTTAATCTAACAGTGGAACCCCACTTATTAAAGAAACATTCATAAACAGTTGCAAATATTCACCAGGAGTGTGAGCTTAGTAAAATTTACTTAATTATTGAACTAAGCTTAATTTCTTCAAATATCAGTCAGTGGAGTGCGAGCTTGCTAAAGATTAAAGGTTTACCTAAGGTTACTTTAAAAGGTTCCTGTGTTTTATTTTAAGACTTTAAGTTTGTAGTTGAGCTTGAATGAAAAGTATTTGATTGTACAGCTTCATCTGCTGCACATGAAACAATATTTTCAAACCAATGTTCCTTAAACATCGACCTTAGATAAATAGTTTCTGTTTCATAGTTCTAAAGAAAAATGCTGAATTTTTACGAAATTAACTTTAACCCTGTAACGTGGGAAGAGAGTTCTGTAAATAATGAAACTAATTTTTATTTTATAGTAGTAAAGCAAGAATTCTAGTAAGTAAAATATTCGCCAACCTTCAGTGAGTTTAACTAAACCTGTTTTATAATTTTTGGTATAAAATTCATGCAGTTATTTAAGAATGATTTTATTACCATACAGTATTTTTCGGTGTCTATTATCGAGCAAAATTTGAGATTTCTCGTCATTTTTGTTGAACATCCCCAAAACAAATAATTTGCTGAGCATATCTATGAGAATTTTCGGCTCAAACAGGATTTAGTTCGCTAAAAATATGAGTAGATTACAAAGCTTCTAGGTACTTCTCCACATTAGCTGAAACTCGGATTTAAATCTAAATCTCATAGTAGAAATCGAGAAACTTGTTTGATAGAGACAATTGAAAATAAACAGTAAAAACTAAGTTAGCAAATGATTTAAAGTATTAAATTTTCCTCTCAGATATGTTATTCTCCTTCTATTACTCTTAATTTCAATCTTGTGAAGAGAAAACCTAATACAAATTTTATGCAGTTTCTAACGTAAATTGGAAATCCCGTTATATTGAAGATATTTCTAATTTTAAGTGAAAAGAAGGTATTAAATGGATCGGGAAATCCGGCTTTCTCGCGCATTCGCTTTAGAAGCTATTTAAATAACGGCAGATGGGGAGATTATAACGCAACCTCATAGCACATTTTAAGCTGATAGACTTTCGCATTCAATTAGCATTTCAGAGTAAATCCTTTTGATAATTTCCATTTGTATTCTGTTCCTTCATTTTATAATTCTCATGTGCCTAATTATCCCACTTCTAAGTTGCAAGACTGCTGCTTTGAATTTGTTAAATATTTATAAGTTTGAAATTTGATAATTAATTTTAGCTTAAGTATATGAGTTTAACTACCTAAATAATGGCTAGTGTTCATTATTAGAATATTCAAAAGCATTTAATGTAACGAAAGGAAACTATATTTATAGCTGCTAAAATAGAAACGAAAGCAAGTAGATTAAAAGTGAAAAAAGAGACTATATATGTATAAAACGAGTGTGATTATCAAAACATTTGCAGAAAATTTAGAATCACACTTGCTAAATTTTTTCTCTTCTTTCTGCTCTGTTCAACTCTAGTAGCAATAGACTTCAGTTAATGAGCAAAAGAACGTTCTGTTCTATTAAAAATTTATAAGCTCCGAAATACGAATTTAATCTATTTTTCATTGCAAACAAGAAAAGCTTTCATAGTACTAATTATAAAATTCGTAACACAGCAAATATGAATCGAAATTAATAGGAAAGTTTTATCAACCCTAAATCATTTCATAAAAATCACATAACTTTGGAAATATTGCGTTGCGTGTTAGAAAACCCAAACAATCCGAATTCCAACTAAGAGTGTCGGTAGTATAGCACAAGCAATAAGACAAAAACATACTAGTTTAAATTAAAAAAAAAAGAATCTTAGATAATTGATTGACCTTTAAATGTCATAATCAATTACTCAAACCACGGTGATGCGTTATTCAAATAAGCTACAAATGAATCCAATGATCATAATTACTCAAATTAATATAATAACATGTTATCACAATAGATTACTAATACCATCAGCCGATAATACATCAGTTCATCAATTTAACAGTTTTAAGGTTAGTTACCATAAACCCTACGGCACACTGCTTCAGTGAATAATAAAACAACTAAAACAAATATATTTGCACTATTTTTCATAATAAATCAAATAAAAAGAAAGAACATTGCACTAATACAACTACAATTATTGCGCCCTAACTTCCTTGGTATTAGACAAAATCTAAACTGGTTAATTACATCTACATTTGAAGAAATTCAGTGCTTAGAAAGGCGCAAATGTTTGTCACATGCTAGAAACTTATAGAGTTTGTGCCCATTTCTAGATTCTTAAGAGTTGGCAGACGCTTAAAAAACTTTTCGAGACGACCTTATCAAGAACACCCAGTAATTACTTCCTCACAACCATAATTTTACGTATCTTGTTAGTAATCATAATTATGTTTTTTTCTTCATATAGGTTCAGATGGAACCCCTCCGTTAATAAGAACAATGTTCTGGATAGTTATGTCCAAGAATGCCGTAAAAAGTTATTGCATAAATGTACAATTTGTTTAAAAGTAATGCAAAAGTTTCCCAGCAAATAAATGGCAGACTTACCATCAGATGGAATTACTCATTCGAGAGCGTTTAATAAAATAGTTGTTGATTTTGCTGAGCCTTTTTCTATAAAGACTTTATTAGGTAGAAAGAAGAATTTTAATAAATTTTCCGCTTGTATTTTTATCTGTTTTATTGTTAAAGCTGTTCATTTTGATACTGTTCATAGACTAACCACTGAAGCCTTCTTTGGTGCGTTAAAATATTCATAGCACGTAAAGGTAAGTTACGTGCTTCCTTCGGAAATTTTTGGTGTTAATGGTACGAATTTCGTTGGATCCAACCATTGATTGCGTACAATGTTGAGAAATTTGTACAAGGATAATAAAGAAAAATTTAAAGTTATACCGCTAGAGAAGGAATAAAGGGGATTTTAATCTACACTCAGCTCCCTTAAAATGAAATCTTGCAAAAATGATTGTCAAAACGCACCAGGGTAAGGATAATGTTATCAGAGTGGTTACAATTTGAGTTAAAACTCAAACACGTATATATCCAGTAACAAACGATCTGCTTTACCGTTTGTAAATGCATATAATTATTGATTGTTTTCATAACTATTATGTCATTCGTATGAACTTTGTATATGTATATATTCATATAGCTGTGTATTGTTGTTTTATAAGTGATATTGTATCAATGTAATGATATATGATTTTGTAGAAGCTGTTTTAACTTGAAAACATTTTAGTGCTTTATAAAGTATTTCTCCCGACTTAGCGTGCCTTCGTGGTGTAGTGCTCTGCATGCCGGGAGCGTATTCCAGAGGTCCGTGGTTCGACTCCTGGCGAAGGCGTTGCTCATCTTTCCCGCTTGCAAAAATACCTAATGACTCTACAGCTTTAAATGTTTATTGTTAACTGTTGTAATATCTATTCTTCGTTACAATATGAAGAAGACAGGTTGGTGCGATTCTGTTGGATTCAAGGTTTGAACGTTTCGTTAAACGTTTAGATTTGACTTGATGGTATATGGTTCCTTCGAGTGCTCTTGAATTCGCTGGTAAATTTAAGAAATGTTTTTATCAAGTTAAATAATAACTACATAGTTGAATTAAATAAGTAAACTTTTGTTGGTAGCTTTTGATTTCTGTAATTCATTTAAATAAAAGAGTTTTGTACTTCATTTTTTTTGTCTGGATTTGCAATACGGTAAAACTTTATTTTTGCTATTTTGTGTTTGACAGATGAATAAAATGCTATTTTATAATTAAATAACTCAAACTATTCATGCTAGACACAACTTCTAACGAAATGTAATATTTTAGTATCTAAGTACACTGATTTCACTAACAGTAGAAAGTGCAGGTCTCACCTGCCCCTTTTTTCTATCTTTGTCTATCATTCTGCCTATCTATCAAGCTACCATTCTGTTTATCTGCCTTCTACCTATCTGTGTATCTAGCTCTTTCTATATCTTTCTCGCTCGCTCACACACATAGTTCACAAGCCAGAGCAGAAATTTAAAAAAATTATTGTTATTTTTAACAGGTAAACTTTTCCTTAGAAAGAAATTGCCTCAAAAAGCTCCTTTATTATGTTTATAATAAATTAATATAGTTGTTAATAACATCGTAATATATAATTCAATTTACAATGATCACAAACCATAGTAAAGAATGAAATAACATCGTAATATATAATTCAATTTACAATGATCACAAACCATAGTAAAGAATGAATACTAGATAAATCGAACAGAGAATATTTAGTACATTTAGTCAAAAAAATCAGATTAATTTTTCAGTTTAAATATTAAACTGTATAGCCGAAAAAATTAAAATATCATTTAGAAATATTTAGAGATAAGCTCCGTTACTGAAAAAAAAAAAAAAAAAAAAAAAAAAAAAAAAACATCCCGATATTAAACAACTGAATGCACAAAATTTCTTAACATCTGAAATTTAAATTAATTTAAATTATCTGCTCAAACCTGCATCTGATAATTTATATTTGCATAATGGAAGGTGAGAATTGCGATTTTACTTCTTTCACATATTTTCCGTGAGAGTGTAGCAAACTGGTGTCTTTGCAAAATGTTTCTCAGAAAATATTTACTTCTTTTGAAAAAAAAAAAAAAAATATTTTAAAGAAAGCCTTTTCCTTTAATACTTTTTCGAGGTTATTTTCAAATACATTTACATAATTTTAGTGTCAATTACTTTTCTTGAGCCAATAACTCTATATTCAAATACATAAAATTCCCAAAAGAAGGAACCAAAGTGAAGATTTCAAGATAAATTTAAAGTGCTTCAAAAATTACTTTAAAATTACTTTTGTGCGAAAAGATTTTGCCTTAACAATAATTTGCTACTTTTCAGCAAACTATTATGGGCCAAAAATTACAATCATTGTCATTATAAAGAATTAAAATATTCCTTCCATATATCTATCTCTGACCTCAACATATCCAACTAAGAAGGCTAAGGTCTCAAATCCGCTGCCTGGCACAGGCACGGTTGATTATTCAAGATTTCTGCTTCCAGAAATCTAATAACTCTTTATATCACGTTGATTTTATTTACAGCATACTCAGAATGCATCAATTAACTTCAAACTTCTAGTAATTAACTAACAACTTAATATGGAATTGTTGCAAATTAATTATTAAATGGTTGTTAGTTAATTAACTAACAACTTAATAATTCTCGTTCAACATTTAACGGAAAATAAAAAAGTAATAATAAATATTGTCAAAAAGTAACTGAATTTTGATGGTAATAAAAAGATTTTTATGCATAGAGATACGGTTTCTTTATCACAGTTCAGAACTGCACGGTTTCTTTATCACAGTTCAGAATTATAAGTCAAAAGGTTAAGTTTTAGAAATGTGTGTTTCTTTTACCGGTAGGGCCTTTCTTTGCTTTAGAGTCAACTCCTGAAAAGAAAATGTAATGCAGTGAAACCTCGAATATCCCTTAATTTTTGGCGGTATGGATGGTCTTTATGGATTACAGAAATTTCTCCCACCACCATCACCAAATATGTATAGTCGATAACGAAGAACAACTTTTAGTACTTCGCGTAGTATGTTCAAATTCGATTTCGAAGTTATTCGAAACTACAAAGAAAGCTTAAGCTTAGCAGGACCTAAGCCTTTGCTAACTACCTTTAATATCAGGATAATACTGTTATTGTTCTCTATAGCTGATCAACATTAAGCTTTCATTAAGTATGAAGTAAAGGTCAGTCAGTAAAAGGAACAGCCGAAAGCTATTGTATAAAATCTATGAAAAGACAATAACTTTATCTGACATGAAAATAATCCCATCGATAAAGTAAATGATTAACAAGGCCATAGAGTATTATGGAACACAGAAATTGCATTGTTTCATTGTAAAGCAAGGGTACTCAACCATTTGTGCCATCCAGAAATTGAGAAATTGGGCTCACAAATCTTGAGCATATACTTGAAATGGATGAGAATGAGGATATTGTTGCATACGAGAACTGAAAACTATCTACATATAACACTGAAAATTTAAATTCTTTCACTAACTTTTATTTGACTCAGAGACATTTCGCTTTCCAAAATAACCACTAACGCTAAATTGAAGGATTAATCATGTGTAATCCACTTAGTTCAATACTTGCTAACGCACATGCATTATTTCCAGCTCAAATTATTTTAGGAACTGCCTTTTTGGCTCTGGATTCGATATGTTGATGACATATTCGCGCTTTTTGATGGTAATAAAAAGATTTTTATGCATAGAGATAAAGTTTTATTGAAAATCTACCCCAAAACTAGGGTGGATGTTTTGCCTTTTAAATCCAGCCTATTTTTGCTCTTTATAATAATCATTATATTTGTTCATCTGGCAAAGAATTTTATTGTGCACAAGCGATCCAAGGCTCGAAGAAATAGCAAGAAAAGTGAAAGTTGCTCTAAATTTATAAAAGCATACTTTACAATACTGAGAATGATGCTAATAATAACAGAGAAATTGAAACATGATGCTGCCAATCAAGTATATGACAACAGATATAGATCGACAATTAAAAATATATCAATTAAAATATATCAGTGCATGATTAGAAAATTGAATTGGAACCTATACCGAAGTCGTTTGCAACAGAGTTGTGTTATTTTAATAGGTCTCTCATGTTAGCAACTTTCTAGCATTTCTAGTTTCAGCCAAAAATAAAAGTTAAAAAATCTATGATTTAAACATATTCTCGCTTTCAGAATATCCAGTATCAAAATTTGCTAAATAATATCCCTAAAATCGGAAAACTGTAAAATGTTAAGTGTGAAACATTTTAAAGTTACGGATGTCAGTGGTTCAAAGCTAACTTGGTGACCTCTTCCCTCCAGAGTAATGATGTACTGAAAAGGCCACTGAGTTATTTGTATGTTTGTTCTTTTAAACGAGTACGGCAAGCACCTGAGGAGCAGAAGAACCTTTTAAAAAAACTAGTTCGTGTTTTCATTACCTCATGGGGAAAGAAGCACAGATGCTCCAACTATACTACTGAAATTTTCCTCCTGTTTAATCTCCATTCTGATTGTAACAGGGCAGAAAGCTTTAAAATTTATTTTTAGTTAAATAACAAAACTGTTTCGATTTCTTATATTTCCATCTGCTCAAAACTTTATTAATTAACTTGAAATATTTTTCTTAACTTAATTCTTACTAACTTATCTCATGTCATGCGAAATATTTTTTTAAAAATATCAGCAAATCTGAAGGAAGGTAGACACAGGGTGGAGAAACAAAAGGCATGAAATGTGAAATTTATACTTTGAAATCTCAAGTCTTTCAAAGGAAACAAATTATTCAGTTTACAATTTAACGTTTAAACTTTAACAACAAAACTCTTCGATCTTGGAGTTAATTAAATTTGGGAGGAAATAATTTTTGAATTCATAGCAACATAATTTCTATTTCAACAGACGTGAGCACGAAATCTCTTATGTTTGTTTCGCACGCTGCGTTGTATCTTTTCCTGAAGTTAAGGCTTTGTCACAATACAAGAAAAGAGCTTTACTTCTCTTTCTTAAATATTTGTATATAAATTCATGTCCTTTCTCTATCATATATTTACTAAAATTATGCTTCAAGTTTAAACGAAATGAGTTTAAATTCAACTTCTTATTACGGAGGAAAAATACTTTTTTTTGTAATAATAGCTCTTCAAATAATGAACTGAGGTGTAATTATTTTAAAAACATCGAAATAAAATGAATTTTTTAAATTATTATCTAGAAAAAGAAAAATGTGTTTTTCTGTTGAACCTTAAAATGCTGAAACTTAAAAATTAAGGCTAAAGTGGAAAGTCAGTTACATATGTTATACGCTTAATTTTATTTTACAGTACTTTACGGTAAATGCGGTTTAATGAATATTTTGCGTTAAATGGAAATAAATTAATTTATGTTAAATAAAAATTAAGGTGATTTTATTTTAAATGAACGTCAATGCGTATTATATATTAAACACAGTAAAAGGATAAAAAGCTGATAAACATGAGCCGCATTGCAACTCTGCACTCGAGGTGCAATTCATGCCACATGAAAGCTTGAGAACTTCATGGCTGTTAAGACTACAGTTTACAATAACCGCTGAAGGGAAGCATACGACTTATACCTGTCTAAAAAAAGAAGTGCTTTAGCGGAAGACCTTCCTAATGCAATCAAGTTCGTTTGCATATAATACTAAGGGAATATCAAGAGCTCCCCACAGCCTGCCTGTTCCTCAAAACTTAGGAGTAGGTGGAAATACCAATCTTCAACTGCTTTATGTATTTTGTCGCCAGTGGACCTTAAAAGTCATTTAAATGGACGTTAGTATGTTAAAGGTAAGTGAAAGAACAAAATCTCTCTGCGCTAAAAATCGAAGCTTTTTAAATATCCTACAAGCGTCTCGTGACAACTCCAATTTCTTTTAGTTATGTAAGTAACAAAGCTAAGTCTAGCATCCATCTAGCTTTAGTGAACTTTCTTTTGTTGTTGAAAATAAATACTAAGCGGTTTATTAAAGAATTTTCTTTAATTTTTCTTTATTCTTCTGTTACTGGGAACGGATTCAGAAATATATATATATATATATATAGTGCGTGTGTGTGCACGTGCACCTATATATACATGTACATATATATAATAATTTATTTACTAAA